GTCAGTCCGTGTGTCCGTGGGGTGTCTGTGGGTCTGTCCGTGTGTCTGTCCGTGGGTCAGTCCGTGTGTCCGTGGGTCAGTCTGTGTGTCCGTGTGTCTGTCCGTGGGTCCGTGGGTCAGTCTGTCCGTCTGTCCTGCCCGCAGGGGGGGTGGGGGTGCAGCTGCCGCCGCTGCCCCCCGAGTTCCTGCAGGCCGTGGGTCTGTCCGTGTGTCCGTGGGTCAGTCCGTGTGTCCGTGGGTCTGTCCGTGTGTCCGTGTGTCTGTCCGTGTGTCCGTGGGTCAGTCTGTCCGTCTGTCCTGCCCGCAGGGGGGGTGGGGGTGCAGCTGCCGCCGCTGCCCCCCGAGTTCCTGCAGGCCGTGGGTCAGTCCGTATGTCTGTGTGTCTGTCTGTGTGTCCGTGGGTCAGTCTGTGGGTCAGTCCGTGTGTCCGTGGGGTGTCCGTGTGTCTGTCCGTGGGTCTGTCCATGTGTCCGTGGGTCTGTCCATGGGTCTGTCCGTGTGTCCGTGTGTCCGTGGGTCAGTCTGTCCGTCTGTCCTGCCCTCAGGGGGGGTGGGGGTGCAGCTGCCGCCGCTGCCCCCCGAGTTCCTGCAGGCCGTGGCCCAGCAGATCACCCAGCAGGCCATGGCGGCCGCCGCCTCCGCCGCCACCGGTGTGTGACCTCTGACCCCTGACCCCTCGTGACCCCTGACCTCTGACCCCTACCGACCCCTGAGCTCTGACCCCTACTGACCTCTGACCCCTACTGACCCCTGAGCTCTGACCCCTACTGACCTCTGACCCCTACCGACCCCTGAGCTCTGACGCTGGAGCTATGACCTCTGACCCCTACTGACCCCTGACCTCTGACCCCTACCAACCTCTGACCTGTACTGACCTCTGACCCCTGACCCCTAGTGACCCCTGACCTCTGACCCCTACCAACCCCTGAGCTCTGACCCCTACTGAGCTCTGGCCCTTGCTGACCCCTGACCCCAGGTCTCTGACCCCTAGTGACCCCTGACCTCTGACCCCTACTGACCCCTGCTGACCCCTGACCTCTGACTCATTCTGACCCGAGCTCTGACCCCTGAGCTCTGACCCCTCGTGACCCCTGACCCCTTGTGACCTCTGACCCCTGACCTCTGACCCTAACTGACCCCTGCTGACCCCTGACCCCTGCTGATCTGTGACCCTGACTGACCCCG